ATGAGTATTTCTTGGTGTAGGAAGGGAGTCTAGACCCAGGGTTTCAGTTAATAGACACATCAAGGGACTTGCAAGGGTATTTAGGGCTTGGTGTCCTTTAAGAAGTTTCTGTCAAGCAACTGGAAAGTTCCGCCTTTCTCCTCTGTTTCTGCAGAGTGTCCTGGCAGAGCTGACCATCTGCTCCCTAATTTGGACTAAATTCAGCAGAGGAGTTTGGCTCTGGGAGGGAGTAGATTTGAAGAGTTTTGATTCTGGATTTGGGTTTTTTTGATTGGGGATTTTGTGGGGTTTCTTTTTTTGGTATTGACAAAAAATCATTTTTCTTTCACTTTGTTCTTTTCCTTTGTGAGCTGAGATTGCTCAGGTGTGGGGTCTGAGGTGGATTTACCCCTGAGGCTTTAAACTTTGTGGGTGGTAGTGGGAGAGCAGGACTGACGTCTTTGTGTATGCAAGTGAAAATATGACAGATAGATACTAGAGAGTATGAGACTGCCCCAAGTAGTAACCTTCACAGCAGGGAAAGCACATATTTTAAAGACACAAGATACTGTTTTTCTTTCTTTTTTTTTTTTTTTTTTTTTTTTTTTTTTTTTTTTTTTTTTTTTTTTTTTTTTTTTTTTTTTTTTTTTTTTTAAATCAACCTAATGTCGCTTGGTGTCTGAACTGACTGCTTCTGCTGGTTGAACCTCACTCTTGTTTTTCTGTGGGGCAATCTTGTAACAGCTTTCCAAAAGTTGGGGAAGAGCCTTGGCTGCTGTGGATCAGGGTTTCACATCCTACAAGATGCTGGTTTGCACATGCCAGGCCCTGTCCCTTAGCTCACGGAGCCCCCAGGGATAGAGAGCCTTGGCCTATGGGCAAAAGTGATAGGATCTTCAGTGGTGGTGTTGTTTCTCTCCTGTGCAAGTGAACGTATTTCTGCACACTGCTGTTGAGATGTGTCCTCACAGCTTCAGGGGGAAGAAAAAAAAAAAAAAACCCACAACTTTTAGAATGTTGCTGATATATGGATATTCTGCCCTGCCTCACCTCTCCTTTCTTCCACAGTAGAACTGTTTGGGCTTTTGCAGTAAACCACTGTAAAAAAATAGCATTTTCTTCACAAAGTGAGTTTCAAGCTGAATTGATTCTCTCCTGTGTTTTAGTGTATAGTCTGTGGAGTAGATGTATATTCTAGAGGTGAGAGAAGAGAAAGGGATGGGAACTGCTGTGGAAAAAGCAACATGATACTGTGCCTGGTTGGGGCTGCACTTTTCTGTTTGGGTAGGAGCAGTGGGAGTTTGCATCCCATGTGAAGTCTGACAGCGAAACAAAATTTAGGGGGTGCTACTTGTAGCAGAAGGTCTTTCTCTCGGGGATGAAGTGTCTGTGAGTCCTGACAGACTTGGGACAAATGGAAAAGCTGGCATTGGGAAAGTGAATAGAGTGTTTGCCCCCACAACAGCTGTGATAGGAACTAATGGCTGTGGCAGAGATGTTACAAATATCTGGTGGGTAGCCTAGATGAAAGTGCAGGATTACCTGAAATGTCAGGTCATCTTGTTTGCCAGTGTACAGCTTCTCTAAACACTGGTTGCTCTTCTTTAAACCAGGTTGTACTGATTTAACTGCAGTTGCTAAACAAGCAAATCCCATTGAACCTAAATTGATCTGTTCCCCTAAAAAAAGACCAACCATTTCCCATGTTGTGTCTGTTTTTATATGAAATATATAACAGATTAAATCGAAGTATCATTTTAGCTTTGTCAGTGAAGTGCAGAGTGTCAGTATTCACCCTGGTATTCTTTGTCCAGAAACAGGGGTAAGGGGAAGGAATTCCCCTGTGATGGTGAGCCTTGCAGCTGTGCTTGGAATGGTGCAGGAAAGGGATGTAACAGCCACTCTGCTCTAAGGCCCATCTTCTGCTCTCATGGCTGTTGCTCTGAAGCAATCATTTCAATGTGCTTCCAAATTCTGAGCAAGCTATAAAGTTTTTCCTTGGTACATCATGTAGGAAGAGTGCTTATGCTGTATGTATTTACGATTGGGTCAACATTGGACTTGGCAGACAGCAGGAGATAACGTTTTGAGGATACTAGAGGTGCTGCTTCACACCCATTCGCAAGTACAGCATAACTTGGCTGGTTGTTGCTGCCAAGGGGCTGGAGGGAGGCAGAGAGGAAGAAGCTGGGCTGTGAGAGCTGGGCAGAAGGGGGTCCTGAGGGTGACATGAAGCCTGGCATCTACTCATTCTGGGTATGAGGCCCAGGGAGGGGATGTTTGGCTGGAAGGAGGCAGCTCCTAACCCAAGGCATTTTCTTTGCAAGGGGAGGTCCTGGATGCACACTGGAGAACTGAGATGGAAGACAAGGAACACATTTCACCAACCCCACGAGTGCCGTGAGGTCCTGCAGTTCCTGCACTGGTTGTCACCTCCCAGGGCTGGCTGCAGGTCACAGCCAGGAAGGCTGTGGCACTCCCTCTGAAGTACCTCAAAGCGTAACTTGGGGTTTTAACCGTGGGAGGTGAAACTTCACCCATCTTACTGTGGGTGAGCTGAGTTAGCGGCGCTCTGCTCCTGACAGCGACAGCCTGGCTGGGACGTGTGCCTGACTGTCAGAGAGGAGAGGAGGCTCACCCTGTGAAACTAGGAGAAAAAACTTCTTCCTTTTCCTGAGTTAAGTGGGTTTCCCAGTTCAGCGAGTGAGACTCTGGTTAAGCCTGGCTGACATTGCCTAATGTTACACCTCCTGGCAGAGTTTGGGCATCAGGCTCCTGAGTGAGCTGCAGTGGGTTACTGGAGGGGCATTGGTATTTGGGTGGAAAGTGTTTAAATTCCTGTAGACCTGACTGATCATTTCTGTCTTAGAGTGTTTTTAGGGAATGAGAATTTGCTTTTCAGTGCAGTCCTAAGTGAGGAGAAAGACTTTTTACCTTTCTGTGCTTTGAACCCTATGCTAGACTCTAGGAGGACAGGCCATTCTGGATAGGGAGAGTGAGGAGCAAAGTCTGACAAAAGAGGAGGTTTAAGGTTGCCTCTCTTTACATTCCTGACTGAGACATGAAATGAAAGAGAAAGTAAAATTTAATGCCCAGTGTTTCAGGACTTGTAATTTTAATTTCAGACACCCTTTTTGTTCTGTGTACAGACCTGATGTCCACCTCCCATCTCTTTCCACCAGAGGTTCTTGTCTCACTCCTTCTTTTGCCTAGTGTAGAAAGTAATGAACGTGCAAAGCCTGAAAAATATCTTGTATTTAAAAAAAACTAACAAACTGTGCGAAAGATAATCATGGTGTTTGTCATGAAAAAACCTGTTAGTTCACTGTAAATAGGTTTCTGACAGCTGGTTGGTTTTAGTACATGCTATTTGTACTTTAAATTTAATGTTAAAATATTATTGTCATCTAAACCGCGACTGTTCTTAGTTGAGCAGATTTCAGGTTAAAAACAGTAGTCAAGCCATGACTGTTTGTAGCACTGTAATGTAATTTTGTGTTACTAGGTCTTTTCTGACCTGTTTTAATGCATCATGAAGTGGTGGTTATATGCCTAATTGCACAGTGCAGAGAAAATTGTGTTGAAATATTGCATAAAACTTGAGCGTTATGTGATGTTTTGTAGTGGAGGTACTACTGTAGGCACTCATTCATAACAAGACCTGCAGGTTTCTCCCTGCTAGGGCGGGTGGTTGAGCTGGCTGTGCTGACTCAACAGAGCAAGTTTCTTTCTCTTCACATCCTCTTCTTCCTCCTCCTCCTCTTTTTGACTGCTTGTGACCAAACATCAGCAGATTCAGAAGAGCTCACTCGTGAAACGTACCTTAGTTTGAGCTTGCTTTTTGTAACTATGCAGCTGTGGATTGAGACTTTTAGAGCTCTCATGTCAACCAGATGTTAAGCTGGCTAAAAAGCAGACTTGCTTTCTGAGTGTGGGTGTGTTTGTGCGGTGTGGGTGTGAGTGCACACAGGTTCCTCTGGAGTAGTTCAGAAGAGGACCATTCTGACTTGGGGGGACTCAGTGTCGCCTTGGTGGGCATTCCTGACTGTATGGGGGATGGAGGCACAGGAGGGCTGCTGGGGCAGGGCGGGAGGTACTCAGAAGTGAGGTCTGAGAGGTTTGTGCATGTGTGTGCCCTGAAGTGTTCATGCAGTTTTGGTCACCACAATATAAGAAAGATATAAAGTTATTAGAGACTGTCCAAAGGAGGGCAGTGAAGATGGTGCAGGGCCTTGAGGGGAAGCTGTATGAGGGGAGGGGCTGAGGTCACTTGGTCTGTTCAACCTGGAGAAGAGGAAGCTGAGGGGAGACCTCACTGCAGCCTACAATTTCCTTGTGATGAGAAGAGGAGGGGCAGGCACTGATCTCTTCTCTGTGGTGATCAGTGACCTGAGGGAACAGCCTGAAGTTAAGTCAGGGGAGGTTTAGGTTGGATCTGAGAAAGAGGTTCTTTACCCAGAGGGTGGTTGGGCACGGGAACAGGCTCCCCAGGGAAGTGGCCACAGCACCAAGCCTGACAGAGTTCAAGAAGTGTTTGGATAATACTTCTGGGCACATGGTGTGACCCTTGGGGGTGGTCGTGTGCAGGGCCTCAATGATCCTTGTGGATCCCTTGCAGCTCAGCATGTTCTGTGATTCTGTGGCTGCACAGAATAGTCTCATGATGTCCAGGGCTTGGAGCCTGCTGCCTGAGCCTAGCTCCTCCCTTTTTCATTTAACGATGGCTGGAAGAAAAATAATCAAGTATGCTGGAAGAGAAACATTAATTAACTTTTAATTTAGATCTAACGTATGCTGCAGGAAAGAGTGAGTGTGCGGTATCTGTCATGTTATATAGAGGGTGATGCATTGAAGAAACAAGGAAAAGCCTCAGGTCGGAATGGGAAGATGAGGTTTTAACTCTGTGGATGGGTTTTGTATCTTGATTAAAAGCTGCAGATGTGTGATAAGTCTCTTTTGTATCCATTTTGCATTTGAAATTACTTTCTCTGTAACTTGGTTTGTATCTGTTTTCTCTTAAGCCAAACTTGCAAGGAGAAGTCAGGAGAGAGAAAATCTCGGCATGCTGGTCTGGTCACCTAACCAGAATCTGTCTGAAGCAAAATGTAAGTCTCTTCAAATACATTTATTCCCCTTTTTCCTTACATGTATCACTTCAGGAATGTAAAGTTGCCACTTTCGGTAGAGAGGTTATGTCTGTGACCTTTCCATTATGATTAGAAATTAATTTAAAAAAAGAAAAGCGAACAAAGAAATCCCCCAGTTCATCTTTCTTCCCCACTGGGCAGCTGCTCAGAGAATCAAATCCACAGGGGCATGGAAATCAAGAAAAATGTGACATGCCTTCTTCCCTGGTATGAATTCTTTAAGGTGGGCCTACACGATCTGCTTTTTTTGCTGTTGGTGCTGTAGAGGCAACAGAAATAGCTGGGGAGAGCAAAATAAAAAGTATTGGGAGGGGGACATGCAACATTTGGTAATTAGTAGTACCTTTTTCTCCACAAAGACACAAATAAAATCCACATCTGGAGCCCATGGAGGTTTTAAATGCCAGAACAATTGCAGTGCCTTGGAATTCCACGTGAGGGCAATTAACAGCACTCTGTGTGTGTCTGGGAACAAGTCTCAGTGCTGCTGCCAGATGGCAGAACTAGTGTTTGAAAGGTTTGTCTAGCTACAGTTCCCCTCATGAATAAGTAGGACTCCTTGATTAAAGGGCTGCTGTTTGAATGCAGTAACTAAACCTAAGTGCTTTTGGGGGAGGGAGCTGAAAAGAGCTATTTTTGACTTTGTGCTTTTTTTTTTTTTTTTATCTTTTCTGATTCTGGGACCAAGAACGAGTATCTTGCATTCCTGTTCCTCTGCAGTTTTTGTGGTGGCACTATTAACTTGATACCTGTTTTTCCCCTTAGACCCAAGGACTAGCGTGCATCACAAGGCACTTGTGAGGCTGTAGTGGCATTTGCAAATTAAGGCAGCAGAGACTGTGCACAAACTGGCTCTGCCATGAAAGGCCTGTGCTCTGCCCTGGGGCATTTGTTCCACTGAGCAAGTTGCCCCTTAAATTACAGAAGGATGATGGTACTGTGATCTACAGATAAAAAGGGCTTTGCAAGGATCATGTCTGCCTTCTCTCCTGCCAGTAGCCTCTTGTCTGCTCCCTGCTGGCTGTTGCAGGTTGAACTAAATAAGACTGATGAGATGAGGAGTATGTTTGACAGTTACCTACAGCTAGAAACCTTTTAAAAGGTATAAGAGCAAGAAATTGTTTCTGCCACCGAAAGGAATGACTGTTCATGGGCTGTCTGTGACACACAGGATTCCTGTAGGTGCCTCTCAAATCTGAGTTTCTTATGAATCTCAGCTCAGCTTTGGAACATTTAACTCCTGCCGGATAGGAAACGGGTTTCTTGAAGAGGGAAGACAGAAGGGAGGGGGAAGGGGAGGGAAGATATTTGGAACTGAGTAAAATTATCTGTGACTGAGAATTTTGTGGCAATTGGCAAAAATATATTATAGAGCATATAAAAGATATAATATCTGCTAAGATGTCATGAACCTAGGAGGTAATTTAAAAAGTTGTATGACACTGATGAATAAAGTGGCAGGTTGATGTTGGTACAACAAACAAGTTGGGGAAAGCAGTATGAATATAAGAAGGCAAGAAGAAATTTCTCAAAATACTCAAAATTTCAGTAGGAGTGTAGGGTCATCAGTTATTTCACCTTCCAAGACAGGTACAGAAAAAAAAGAATAAATATTTCATGGGGAGTTTGAGGAAGTAAAGTGTGAGGCTGTTGCACCATACATGACACACAAAATACCTCACGGATGCCTGATTTATATAGAGTGGATGAAGTTGTGAAATTAACCTCTAGTAGAGTAGAAAAAACCCAAAGAAATATTGGGAGAGGTGGCTGAGAGGACCTTGGCTGGTAGGAAGTCTCCAGCAAATTGGGAAAGGGCAGCTCTACAGAGAATGAGAGAAAAGGGAGCTGGTTGGTCATTGCTTTGCCTTGAGTCAATTTGAGCTGATCCTGCTGAAAGGTATCAGTTATTCCTGTCTCTGTCTGGCATTACTTAAAAATGAACCATGAAAACCAAATTCTGCTGAAGGTAGATGCTTTTGGTTTTTGGAAATGGATTGATTGGTAGAAATAAGTTTATTGCTCTAATGTATTCAAGGCAGCTGTTAGGCACTGATTGCATGAGAGCCTGAATCAGTCCCCCTTCCTTTCTAAAGATGAGAACGTCCTCCAGAACACCAGTGCTCTGCAATGGCTGTAGAGCACTTACTAAATGTAGTACATGCAGAGTTCCCTAATCTGCTTTATGGTTTATGATGAAAGAACATCAGGGGACAGGAGGTCTCTTCAGCGACTCTTGAATTCACTGACAAGTCTTGGCATCGTTGATAGTGAATCCTAATTAAATGGGGTCTGCGGGGATGTGTGAGAGGACTGGTGATGATCAACATTTCCATCAGTGATGTGGGAATTGGTATGAAATTGTTGATGACCCATAGACTGACAGGGTGGTAAATAAAATTAATGCTACCAGCAGTCTTGTAGAGTGCTTTGGGTCTTTTCCTGACTTGGACTGCTGCCAGTGCAATGGGCTCTTAATGACCCAACTGCAAGGTTATGAATCTTAGTACTGAAAGCTCTGGCCTTCTACATCAAGTCTGATGTTTGGAAAGAAATGGCTTAGAGAGCAATACTGGGGAAACAGTGGGCAGGTAATTCAGCAAAGGTTCATGGTGTCCTGCTTGACCCAGGGGATGATGTGGATGTAAAGAGTGAGGTAGTCACTGGTACAGTTTGCTGCGTCTGTACCCAGCAGCATTCGGGAAAATGAACCTCGAAATACTGGCTTTAGTTTAAAAACTGAGAAAACGATTGAGACAGGAGCAACTGAAACATTTTGGAAACTGAAGATGAAGCAAAATCCATCTTTTTAGCTTACTGAAAAGAGGCTAAAAGGGGACTATTCTCAATTATTCTCTTAGAGGAAAAATTTGACATAGTGAGAGACATGCATAATACAAATAGATGGCTTGCAAAAATAAGTCCACACGGACTGAAATGAAATGCCTGAGTGTGGGTTTTTTGGTTTGTTTTTTTTTTTGTGATTGACTACTGGAAGTTATTCAGGGAAATGATGGATTCTGCATTTCTTGATGCCTTTTTAAACCATGAATTTTTGTGACATGGTGCGGGAGATCATTCACTGGCAATGGGAAATTGCAAGTGGAAGGAGGTGTGGTCTCTAGGAGGTTGGTGTAGCTCCTTGTGCTGTAAGTACTGTTAGTCCTATCTAGCACATCCATTCTTAATACTGCTGTTCAGGTTAAAGTGTGGATCAACAAATCCTTCCAATCTGCAGCTGCCTGTTGGTACCTGTGATTACTTTGGTTTGTACTCGAAAGCCTTTAATCCATCCTGCCTCTGTAAGACACAGGACTCTTCTCTGTTCCTGTGGCTCACTGTGAAGGTGGAAGTTAGTGCAGCACATGTTTGCTCTTCCTTTAAGAGTGAACTGGGTAGCTCTTGTGAGTGGGAGAGTTCAGTGCAAACAGTGCAGCTTGTGGAAGTCACCTCTGTTAAAGGTGCTGAAAACCACTGAGCAGATCCTGTGACCATGCTCAGGGCAGTGCACCTGATGGGTTTGGCAGAGGGCTGGCCAAACTGATGGATGCTGTGGGAGGGTCTCTGTAAGCCACTTGAAAGGAATCCTGGAAAGACCAGTGTGTCAGCCAAGACCTGGTGGATATCTCCATGCCTGATGCTTCAGATTCACACAGTTAAAAGCTCGTTTGGGTCCCATGAAGCAGTGTTTTAATCACACTGGAGAAACTTTTTGCCTGGATGCCATGAAATGAGGGATGTAAAAGAGAAGATTGAAAACAAAAGTATGTGTTGGCACGTTGCTCATTTCTTTTATCCTGTTCCTTGTTAACCATTAATCCTGGACACCAACCGCTTACTGCCTTTCCCGTATTAATACCAAAGTTGAATGCTGCCAGCATGGTCCATATCTACTGACAGACTTCTGCCTTTGAGGGGTCACTTGCACAGCAGTGTCACCATTAGTGAGGAGGTCACACAATTGGCCCAAAGCTAGAATTTTGTCCTGTGTCTTTTGAAGAAGAAAGAAAGAAGGGTCATTGTACAGTAACTGAACATTTGGACTTAAAATAACTGTGCTCCCCTTCCAACTCTGCTCCAAATACCCTGTGACTGGTGTCACACCTCTTACAGAGAGCTAGCTCTCAAAGTAAGACTCCTGAGAGGCTGTCTGTGGACTTGGTGCCACGGAGAGCAACTGTTCTGGCTGTTGTGGGACTGTGACAGAGGGTGAGGAAGGAGACAGAGAGGAAGAATGATGCCTTGAGCAAGGTGACATTGAGGAGCAGGAATAGCTAGGTGGAAGACAGGCATCTGCTCTCTTGGAGTGGCACGTGGGGAAGGAGGAGGGGAAATAGTGAAAAATGCATTGTAATGATGCTGTGGAAACTCTGCACAGGATAGAGCTGGGCCAGCATGAAGCTATTAATAAAACAGCAGCGCCTTCCTCTGTGCCAAGTGCACCAGTGAGTGGAACCATAAAGATGACTTTGGGTTGGTTTAGAAATGAGCAAGTGCTGGCATGGTGCAGCTGCCCAGGAGCAAGGAATAGACACCAGGTGAGAGGGTGAGATGTCATGATTGCTTTTATACACCTGCAGTTCAAAGGTGAACTACAAGAGGGAAAGATGTATTGTTTTGCCAGCGATAAGCTCTGCTTTGAAAGTAGTTTTTCTGCTCTCTTCCTGACAGAATATGTATGCTGCTAGATGGGAGTTCTGTTTTCTCACTTGATGTCTTGGTAGATGCTTCCAGTGGATTTGCAGTTTATGGGTGTCACTGAACAGGCAGGCACTGTCCCTAATACCCACGGGACAGTGGGCTGTGGATGGAAACTGGGTCTTCTGGTCTTGCAGTGCTGCTTCTGCTTGACCTGATAGTTGATTGGCACTGCCAACTTTGGACATTCACCACTCCCTGTCTCCGTTACTCTGTGGCACCTCTTCTTTTGAGGCTGCAGCTGGCTCTCTGCTTTACTT